TTAAATCTAGCAATTAATTTTTTAAAACATTTGCCAGTAATTGGCTCGCTTCATTAGCTGAAAGGCGCGTTTGTTATAAAATTAAGCAATGAATTATTTAATTTATTTGCCAGTAAGCGCTTTAAGTAATAGGGCGAAAGGCCCTTTTGTTAATAAATTCAATAATTAATTATTTATTACGTTTGCCAGTTAGTGCCCCAGGTCATTGGGTGAAAGGCGCTTTTGTTAATAAATTCAATCACTAATTAATAATTCATACGTTTACTAGTAAGCGGCCGGGGTCATTGGGTGGAAGGCACTTTTGTTATTAAATTAAGCGATTAATTATTTAATACCTCTGCCAGCAAGCGCTTTGAGTTATCGGTAAAAGGCGCTTTTATTATAAAATTAAGCAATAATTGTTTCCATTTATTTGCAAGCAAGTTTCTGAGTCATTGTTTGAAAGGCACTTTTGTTATTAAAATTAGCGATTAATAATTTAATTCATTGCCAGTCAGCGCCCTGGGTCATTGTGTAAAAGGCGCTTTTGTTTTTGAATGAAACAATTAATTATTTAATACATTTGCCAGTAAGCACCCTGGGTCATTAGGTGAAAAGCGCTTTTGTTATTAAATTGAGAAATTAATATGAATACATTTGCCAGTAAGCAACCTAGGTCATAAATTAATTAATTAATTTATTATGCATAAAAGTGTTATCTGGGTTTCTGCGTCATGCCCCATATAGTCCATTTGAATTTTCCGCCAAGTTATTCTATCACTTCTGAGATCCATGGCATGAACTGATTGACAAAAAAGAATAAGGGTTCGTACACTAGTTACAGCAGGAGAGCACAACACGCTTTACCTCTATACTCTATAGACCCTATGCCTTATAGCTATGGGTATATAGATTGCAGCAAACAAAACAGAACTTTTAAAAGTTTTAAAACTTTCAAAACTTCTAATTCTAAAAAGCAACTTTTATTAACAACCCTGCTCCTCACCCAACACTGTTCGTCACAGGTCACAGGTCACAGCGTTGGGTTAGGCGAATTCACGATTTAAAATCGGAACTTTTTCCCTAGATCGTATGTATAGATATACTATCTAGGGAGAATGTTCCGTCGAACAGACAGAATAGCAGTGAAGGGGCATTGCCAAAGACACGTGGAAAGTAATAATTGTAATATAAATAACAGAAATGCCTATCACCCGATGCCCCGGGGTGCTTACTGGCCACTCTATTAAATAATAAAATATTAATTAACAGCACAAGCACCTATCACCTGATGACCGTTGTGCTATTAATTAATAACACATATCGTTTAAAAGCGACCAGTAAGCGCCCAGGGATATTGGGTGATAGGTGCTTGCGTCAATAATTAATACTTTATCATTTAATAGAGAGGCCAGTAAGCGCCCCGGGTCATCGGGTGATAGGCGCTTGTGTTATTAATATTACAATTTTTAATTTCCGCGTGTCTTTGGCAGTGCACCTTCACTGCTGTGCTGACTGCTCGACGGAACATTCTCCCTAGATCGTATAGCTATATATACGATCTAGGGAAAAAGTTCCGATATTGAATCGTGAATCCGCCTAACCCAACACTAAATCGCCTGTGGCCTGTGACGAATAGGCAAAATTTTTGTGAAGTATTTCTGCTGTTTAATTTAAGTTCCAGCAGATGGCGAATGAGAATCGAATACCATACTTTATTATACTACTAGTGGGCGTATTCGGAAATGATGTTTTGGTCAGCTTTTAGGTTGGTATCTTAAACAGCAGAAATACTTCACAAAAATTTTGCATATTCGTCATGTCAACCCACAAGTGGTGCATCTAGCGGATTTTTGGCAGAACAAAACTTGACAGGTATCAGTTGAAATGTAGCGTAGTAAAATAATAGATATGACTCATTTAATTAGTTTTATTATAAACGATTGGATTGTACATATAGTTGTAAGACTGGGCAAGGTGGAAATATAAGCGTAAGCATGTAGTAGGTGCACTTGTATATTCAACAAAGTATATTTAGAGGTTATTAAAATGAAAGCAAACAATAAGAAAAATTTCTTATGACATTTTTAACCAATATCGGCACGAGAAGTCATCGATTGATAACGCAATTTGCACTGACACAGCACCAAAATGGGGAAAAAAAGATATAAGATAATGTGAAACCGATAAATAAGTAATTCGGTATTCGGTAGTGAGCTTCAAGGGAGTGAGCAGCAGAACGCGGGACAGTAGCTAATTGGCTGTCACGACCCATAGGAATAATATAGGGTTTCACCTGTTGTTTGTTGCAAAGTATTTGTATATATACGCGCCTTGTAGATTGAGCAACAAATGGCGGCGGTTCTGCTGCTCACTCCCTTGAAGCTCACTAGTACTCGGTACACTGCAACAAAAATATTGCTCCTTTGGTGTAGATTTACTGGTTGTTTATTTTTCGTATTTCGTTTGCTTGGCACGATTGTGATTACGATTTCCCTGTAGTTGGAGCAATCATGCGTAATTATAGCATCAGCAAAATAACCGGATGACACTTGGTAAGATTGCAGCAGAAACGGTTTTCAACCTTCCGTTTATTTAAACTAATGCTCCCTATTCATTAAGAACCAAGAAATGGGGCGATGAAAAAAAAAATTTTTTTTGCTTGTTAACCAAACCAAGCTATAATTAACAGAAAGGTTACACCTAACGTATATTACAGAACGTTTGCCAGCTGAAACGTACTGACTGATTTGAAACATTAAATTATTTTTAAAAAAAGTTATTGGGTTATTTAAAAAATTTTTTAAAAAATAATTCCGTGTTTAAAATTAGCTTGTTTATTTCGGCTGGCAAAAATTGTACGATGTACATTAGGTGTAACCTTTCTGTTTATTGTAGTTTAGTTTGGTTAACAAGCAAAAAAAAATGTTTTCTTATTGCCCCATATCTCGGTTCTCGATAAATGGGGAGCATTAGTTTAAAAGGATGAATAGCTGGAAATCGCTTCTACTGCAATGTTACAAAATGTTATCCGGTTATTTTCCTGATGCTATAATTACGCATCATTGCTCTAACTACTGGCAGTACTGGCACCACTTAATTCTAAACTTGAAGTGTCAGATTTTAGTTCTACTGAAATCCGCTAGATGCGCTACTTAAGGGTTTACACTTTACACATAAGGAATAGTTTTCAAAGGGAATGCGTGAAACCGATGCGGCCATGTGAGCAAGCTCAGCAGCTTCTTGCACCTGGCCCATTTTCAGATCTAGAATCAGAAGACGGTATGCTGCATCTGCGCCCTTAAATGTACTTCTTGACAATGCAGTAGTGTAAGTTGCTGTATACTTACGTATTGTAAAAATGCTAAAATAGAATATTTACAAAACAGCCTTTTTGGCAACTACGTTGCATGTGTTACTATAAAACCGCTTCTGGACGCTTAATTGCTTGAGTTTAGATTTGTATAAAACATGAATACAAAAATGAAAGATAGTTCTTGAGGCTAAAGTTCTTTGACTTACTGGAAGTTGGATTCTGCAATCTACAATGTTGTTATAGTAGTTAACAGACATGTATGCGTGACATATGCCTGAAATCTAGAGACATTACTAGATCAGAGTTTATAATCGACAAAACTAGCCGAGGATGTTATACGTTGTATTGCTTGACTAAAGGTATGTCTTTGATTTCTGAATTAAAAATCGATTTTTTTATTAACACGTACCACTCAAGATAGGTCAAGATGTACAAAATAAGCAGGAAGTAATTCAAGTAATTCTATAAAATTCTGTTCTGAAAGTTTTTCATGAGGTAAAATTGGTACATTAGGCTTAAAACTGGAAAATTGGTATAAATGTGACTTATGTAATAAGTAAAATGATCTTGAAAATTGAAGCCATTGAACTTCATTTACATCAAAATAAAACAACATGTATGAATGTTAACATATACCTCATGCAGTATGCCAGTATAGAATATTATGGATCATAAATGTAAGAATTATAAGAAACTTTTGACTTAAAGTATTCATGGTTGTTTTACTGAAACACATTCCATAATGTGCATGTCAATCTACCTACTACTTATTTCAAGTGTAACAATACAATTTTTCTGTAAAGGCGTAATAATTAAAAAAAAATTTCATTCCATCTTTCAAACTTCAAACAAGTTTGCCATTCACTACGTGGAAACTAAGTTTAAAATTGAATATTAAAACCATTTTTGTATGGTTACAAAAAAAAATAGTCTCTGGGCACATATATTATCATTGAGATTTTTACATTTTTAATAAAACATAAATTTTTAATGATTTAAAAACTTTTCATTACTTTTTATTAAGAAAACTTTATTTGAGTTCTATATCAATTTTTGACTTATGAAAAATTACTCAAGAAACCTGAACTATTCAACATTTGCTATTAATTTTGTCAACCTTTTATAATACTTCCGGTAGCGTGTAACAGCTGAGTCAGTGATTTTGTAAGGAGTGATTAGTAAAAGTGGTGCTATGATTCTTCTAAAAAAGCCTCTATCTACTTCTGTATATGTATTTCTGGTCTACGTTGTATCTCACACGTACATTCCGGAATTTTATTTGAACGACAACTAATATAGCTGCCTCTCTCAAAATCAAAAGTAAAATTTACTTCTAAGATTCATTTTTTATCCATTATGTGATGAATCCAAAGCTTGTTAATTTTTAAATTAAATGTACACTACCTGATAAAAATTAGAAAAAATGCTATTTAATGAGTTACTTGCCACATGGAGAGAAAAAAAATGGTATCACAGCATTGAAGCACCTATGCAGTTAGCCCATACGACCTGCACATGCGTTAGTTCAATAATTTTATGCACGAAAGCATCTCTGCTCATGTGTTTATGGCATTACGAGTATGTGCTACAAAAGCTTACAAACCGTATACGTACATAAGTATTGGTAACACACACATGCACGCAAGCTCGTGTAATTGCAAGACAATACCAGTGCTCTCGCCTGCGGCAGAAAACCGAAGACGTGACCGTCACAGTACCGCCACCTGAACTGACGCCCTGCGGCCAGAGTTAATGCGCGCTAAGCGGCAAATTCAAATGTGCTAAAACCAACTAACTAAATCCCAAGCTTTTTAACCCAATAACTCAGTACCCAAAACCTCTTAAACCAAATAACCCTATAATTCAGATAAATAAAACCTAACAATATTTTAAATACACGCTCAACTTATAACTGTATACATAAATCATACTCATCAGATTGCAAAATCTTTAAAATAAAGATCCAAACGACTTGCAACACATAAATATAATGAGAAAAAACTACTAAATAACCCAGGGAGCTTGATATCCAATTTATTTAATGATAAAAATATAACATATAACTACAGCGCATTCCCCCATATGACCCAAGGCACTTACTGGCCAGTTTATTAACAAATTAAAAATAAATTAACAGCCCAAGCGCCTA